CACATTTTAAAATAGACGGATTTGCAAATGAAAGTTCATTAAGTATGGTTAGTGCAATTGTAGCACAGGAAAGGCATATACTTATTGATCAAAGGATGACAAATACCAGCGAAAAAGCCTCCATTGACAATAAAGAATTTTGTCTTCTGTAGAAATTGAGATATATACATTAGATAATCATGGGAGGAATTCATCAAGCACAGTTGCCTTTCTACCTCCCCTAAAGAAAAATGCAAGTTTTTTTTAAAACAAAAATCAAAACTAGAAGCTTTTCCTGTTATTCACACTAGAACAAAATTATATTCATGCAGCACAACCAGAGTTATTTTTTTATCTCCCTGGATGGGGTATCTCTGAGTCCTGAAAAGGGAGAATTGAAATTGGACGTTTTCTGAATTGCTGAACTATTATGGAGTTGTTTACTTACCATGTTTTGAAGGTGTCATGAATCCTGCAGAAGATATTTGGCTTCAGGATGATTCACCAGTTACACTGAGTGTAGAATTGTGATGCATCCAACTCTCTCCTCCTTTGGAAATGCTTAGTAAAGGGTTTATTTGTTTCAACTTTATCTTTTGTCCATATAGCTTTCCTGCTTGAGCTGTGGGACTTTACTCTCAGGCCCTGCACACAGGTCCCTATAGTCCCCTTAAGTATCTGGCTTCCCTTTAGTGGAAGATGCTCAGTCTCTTACATGTGGAATCCCCTTTCCAGCCCCACAGAGACACTGGCCTCTCCTCACAATCCTCTGGCCCCCTCAGGCTAACTGGGTCATGACCCGAATACCCCTATTTCCTTCATAGCCACATTCTTCTTTCTCCACAGGGACTGCTCCCATAGATGCATGCATTTCTTCTCTTCGCCACTTGCTCTCACACCCCACAGAATTGACAGTAAAGGAAAACTGACTTCGTTCTGTTGATGGAAACAAACGATACATACAACTTCCTGCCTATTTTATCCCAGCTGCCATTTTTCAATGACAGGTGAGATGGCTCTTCCACAAGGTGTTCCCTTCCAGCCCCTGCTACTGATTTTGCTTCCCTTGTGACCCCAAATCTGAGTGAAAATCAAACTGCCTCTCACAGCTCAGGTTGCCTGTGATTGGCGCTCAGCTCTAGGGGTGGATCTCAGCGGTCCTTTGCAAGCATGTTGGTAAATTATTTCAACAAATCAGCTTACTTTTCCTTGCACTATTATCCATGCAAGGAGAATTCCCTCTGCTGGGCCCTGTATGGGTAGCAAAGAGATATGTGTACCCTTGTCTGCATCAGTCATTCCCATAAAGTTCAACAGGGAAAGAGTCTCACTTCTGGGAGCAAGGCTGAGCTCCTTGTCTCAAGTTAGTTTCTAAAAGTCAAGTTTAATAATGTTGCAATTTAAATTTCAAAAGCCCAAAACATTCTGTTGAAATTCAGATCATTGTTTTTCTTGGTATGTTTGAAGACCCTTTATTGTGTCGGTGAAGAATGAGAAGGACAAGCTTTCCAGAGCCAAGAGGCTCACTTTTGTATCCCATGTGGCTACTCTTGTATTTATGCGGCGGCAGAAGAAAGAGAAACTAGACATGATCTTGATTACAATTGGTAAATCTCTTTTACTGGAACACATATTACAGGAATTTATTTAAGCCATTAGGCCAATAGATAAAATATGCTTCTGAGAGAAGGAGAGCGAAAGTGTACAAACTGTCGAGGTACTGGGAACAGAATAGCTGAAATCACTTCTTGTGATGTTTTTGCAGTATAATATTTTTATCGAATAACAGTAGTCATTCCATGTAAACTATAAAGAATATGGTTTATTAACTTCATATACTGATAAAAATGCTTCCAAGAGAGTATTCATTCTTCCTCCACCGCTAGTTTCTACGCAGTTAGGCTTCGTGTTATTCTCTATTTCCTTTGTGGCCATCTATTTCCCCTGCTGCCAAATGTGCGTGTTTGTGATGCTTTTGGATTCAAAGAACTGCACTTGTATTTTTTTGACTCACATTTACATCCTAATCAGTCCTTATGACCTTTATGTTCTATCATTGAGCCTCTGCTTTGGTTGCGGGTACTGCTCTGTCATGTCACTTTAGGGAACTGTTAATCGTATAATTAATTCCTGCTATAATTTCAATTAAATGACTAGACACCTTGGCTTTGGACACCTGTCTACGTAAAATGAATGGTCCCTATTATTATAACAATGATGATCGAAATTGCGTGGGATGCATATGGTGGTACAAGGTGCCATTTTAACCTTGGAAAGGTGCCTTTAAATATAAAGGCAATTACTTTAACAAACTGTGTTTTAACTTTTAAAAACACCTCTCTGTTCTTTATGGATAGATGGTTGGCTGTATAGTCAACTCAAGAGAGCGGGTGCCTTTTCTCTGCTACCATATGCTGCAACGATAAAGCCAAATTCAAAGGTTTGCTTTGGCATATTCTGGATTAAATTCAATTGGAAAAGCCAAATTAGATTCAGAATGAATGCAACAGCACTTAGGCGGGAAAGTGCAGCTTCATAATTGCACATTGGATGTTTCTGTTTGTTATGGATGCTGAATTCAGATTCATTTTATAGCAGTTTAACAAGCAGCTGTCATACTATTTCAATACATTCAACAAAAGATGACCAGCTTTGCAACCATTCGTTGCACTGAGTAATCTTTAGTCTTTAAGGTGCCAAAAGATTCTTCATTGTTTTGGCTGCAACAGACTAAGACACTGCTCTTTGGAAATAGAATAGGAAAAGATTCATTCTGGAAAAGAACTCCCCTGCAGCTTAACTGCCCAACCAAGTACTTTCCATGATCCACTGTGAAGGTCATTTCTTCACAACCTCACTTCCTTGTAGCACTCTGTTAAGATTTACATAGACTCCATGTGATCAAAGATCACCATCACAATTAAAATTGTCTTGCACACACAACCAGTTGGTGAATATTTGTCTGTCTTCATATCCATGGAGCCTGTTTCTTCAAGCTCCAAAAATCTGCCAACCAGTCCAAGGCTGTTTATGTGATTTTGTTGTTGTTCTCAATTCAGAGGCTGTGTAATACATTTCTAGCATGTTATCTACCTGGAAATGGATATTTATGACTAAGTTAAAGGAGGCTTTGCCAAGATACTACTTTTTTCTAATTCACCCTTCACTTCCAAAATATATTCTTGATCTTAGGTATTTTTATATTTTCCATGTTCCAGTCAGAGCATGAGTCTGTTCAATATAGCCTCCTTCTCTAGTTTTGGAAAGTCTTTGAAGAAATGTTGAAGGTTTTATTCACTCTTATCATTGGAACATTTATCCTCCTATTAATTTCTCTGATCTATACTTTCCACACTCCCATCAACCATTATTTTATCTAAATAAGACTTCTTTGAAAGGAGAAACAATTGAGTTTCCTTTTGTTCCATCAAATGGGTGTTCAATGAAATTAAATTGTTTGTCTTTGGCTTTACACCATCCTGTTTATCCTTCTTAGCTGGTGCTGTTGTCCACAGTCTTTTAATGGCATGGTCAGTAAAACCCTTATAGGTATGGGGCTTCTTTATGTGAGAGGTGCACTTTTCCTTTCTATATGTTGCTATGTGTTCATTGCACAGCCCAAGGTGTTGCTCTGGAGTAGAATGAATTGTGAAAATACACTATGCTCCTGTAGCAGATAATGGCAACATTCAAGAAAATGCTGCCTTTCCTCTATAACCAACTGCAAAATGGCTGTAAAGCATGGCAGAGGCCCTGGAGGATGACAGCCTTGTGTAAAGGACCCATAAACTTCCTCGATCACAAATACACAATAAGTATCTCATCTAGAAAAACCAATAATCCCTGTTCTATTTAATAATTTTCCCCTCCACAAACTCAGAGAAGGAATTCTTTGCTGCTTGAATATGAACAGTATTTTTTAATTGTAGCAATGCGGAAAAGTATAAAATATGGATACCAAATTGATATAATCATAGTTCAAGAAAAATGTTACATGCTGTCAAGTCATCTCTGACATATGGCAACCCTATGACTGAAAACCCTCCGAGATGCCCTTCCCATGGCATCCCTGCTTAGGTATTCTAAATTCAAGGTTGTCCTGTCCATTGCAGGTCAAGTCAGCTCATGAAAATCAAGGCAGTGGCTTCCTTCAGGGAGTCAATCCATCTCATATTTGGCCTTCCCTTTCTCCTTCTGCCCTCGACTTTCCTTAGTATGGTTGTCTTCTCCAGTCACTCTTGCCTTTTCATGATGTGTGCAAAGTATGACAACCTCAGTTGTCATTTTTGCTTCTAGAGAAAGTTCTGGCTTGATTTCAGCTAGGACCCACTTGCTTGCCTTTCTGGTGGTCCACATTATTCTCTAACCCCTCTTCCAGCACCATGCTTATCTTAAATTATTGATGTGTCTTCCACCAGTTTTAACTCTGATCCTAATCCAGCTTTCCTCATAATGTGTAGTATGTACAGGCTGAATAGATGGGGAGATAAACTGCAGAATTGTCTGACCTCTTTGTCTGTGGAGAACCATTCAGTTTATCTGTTCCTGGTCCTTCAAGTAGCTTCTTGTCCACAATAAGAGATACTCATCATGATGGCAGATGGTGAGGCACACCCATTTTATTCAGAAACATCCTTAGCTTCTCATGATCCACACAGTCAGAGGTTTTGGCTGCAGCGTATGAAGCATAGATTGATCTTCTGAAATTATTTGAGATGCTCCAGTAACCAGTGTATATTTGTTATATGACCTCAAGTGCCCCTTCCATTTCAGACTCCAGCTTGAACATCAGGCATTTCTTGCTCCATATAGTGGTATTCTTTCTTACAGCACTTTGAGTAGCGCGTTGCTTGTGTGGGAAATCAGAGGAATGGTCTGATGATTGCCACACTCTTTTGCATCCCTTTTCTTGGGAACTGTAATGTATATGGAATGTTTCAGTCTGGGGACCATTGTTTCGTTTCCCATATTTGCTGGCATATTCTTGTTAGGATTTGTGCTGATACTATCGCTGCAGCTTGGAATAAGTTCTATTGGTACCCTACCTACTTTGGGTGCTTTATTCTTCCAAGTGATTTCAGAGCAGGTTTCACTTCTTTTTTGGATATTGCAGGCACTTCTTCATGGGATTCTTCTTTGAAGGCATCTGTCATCCTTTCATCTCTTCTGTATAGTTCTCTATATTCTTTCCACCTTCTCTTTGTTTTCTCCTGCACATCTTGACTATTCTTAGATAATATTTCTGCTTGTTTGTCCTTCAGCATTCCTAATCTAGGTTTTATTTCTCTTTGATTCCCTGGATCTTCTGGAAAAGGTTTTTTGTTTTTCCTCCTTTGTTGCTCTTTCTTTGCACTGGTCATCATAATAGTTCTTTTTGTCTCTATGTGACAGTTACTGAAAAGTTTCATGTAGAAATCTGACCCTCTTTTGGTCAACTTTTGCATCTCACCTGTCCTTGGCAATTATGAGTGTTTCTTCTGTCATCAAACAAGAAAAATAGAGTATTTAAAACTTTTTTCGATATCAAGAACTGCAAATGGATATCCTTCCATAATATAGACCAATGTTTAGGTTCCAGAACAAACTTACTTCCCATTTCTTGCAGTGTAGCACCCATGCATTTGCCCAGAGGGACATCCCTAAGCAACCCCTAAGTCAAGATATCTTCTGTTGCCTGCATCCAGTATATCATCTCTTCTTTCTGGAATACTTTTTATGGACATAAGAACTTTAGTCTTCCCTTCTTATCATATTTAGAAGATAGTGTAGAGTAAGGTGTGAGATTCCCAGCCTTACATAAACTGAATTCTTTCTTTTAACAATCGAATACACTGGTTTGCTACTGTTTCACCTTGAAAAGGGTTCTGCTTTCTATTAGACTTGGGTCGGATCTGCTACTTTTGAGGACAATCACCAGATGTTGGGCATATGCATTTATAACTAATTAAGTTTTTGTTTCCTATATTATACTCCATCACTGACTGGTGCTTTTAAGAACTTTTGGACTGCAACTTCCAGTATTCCTGACTACTGGGTTCTGCGTGGTTCTGATGGAAGTTGAAATCCTAAACATCTGAAGGGGAAGACCACTCTAGAGAGTCAGCTATTGATTCTTTACCTTGTAGCAGAAAAGAATGGTCAGTTTGATTCTCCAGCCACTTTTTATTCCAGTATTTTTATCCTTAGCACCAACAGACCAAAGGAAATAGGAAAGCCAGAGATGGTGCAGGGGTGCCACTCTGTTTGAGCCATTGGCTTAGAGTCCTTCGGTTCTTGCCCACTGATACAGATGAAAGACCGATGACCTGGACAAAGCAGACCCTTTAGCATCTGGAGCAGGAGAACAAAAATTATTGCAATTTGAATCAGGCAGGTACCAGTCACCAGCCACTGCCATCTCCCTTGGAAATGTCCTATTTTGGGTTGCTTTCATAGGAATTCATCAAAGGGAGACTGAAGCCAAGAAATTTGAAGAAGACTGAGAAGTCTTGGAAGTGCAACAAAGGAATAACTAGAAAAGATCATCAAGCATAAGGGCACTTCACCGGTGACCTAGGCCAAGATCCTCCACACTACTGTATTCCCAGTCACTATGTGTGAGTGAGAAAGTTGGACAGTGAAGGTTGACAGCAAAGGAAAGCTTTGCAAGTACTTTGGACTGACAGTAAGATGAACATGTGTGTCCTAGATCAAATCTAGCTAGAACTCACCTAGTGCACATGAGAAGGAAAGACTCACTAGAGATGGCAATCATGCTAGGGAAAGTCAAAGGCAGAAGAAGAGGAGCAACACCAACGGTGAGATGGAACAGTTCTATAAAGGAAGCCACAGCCTTGAATTTACAAGTGCTGTGCACCATGTTTTCTTCCTTTGCACATCCCAGGCGACGGGCAGTTCTTTGCAAAAACTCTTTATTCACCGAAGGCTCCTCAGCAAATGCAACCCTCACAGAATGTATACAACCCATGCATGCACAAAGCAATTTGTTCAACTCAGTCAATATAACCACTTCCAGAAACCCTCATTTTATTCAAGTCTGGGCCTGATTCCTTCTGAAGGAAGGAATCCTCTTTTCATAGAATCATAGTGCTGGAAGGGGTCAAGAAGGCCATCAGGTCCAACCCCCTGCTGTTCCAGGACACCAATTACACCATCCCACTGAGATGGCTGTCCAGTTTCTTTCTGAATGTCTCTAGTGTGGGAGAGCCTACCACCTCTTCAGGCAACTGGTTCCACTGTCATATTGCTCTGACAGTGAGGAAAATTTTCCTGATATCCAGCCTGAATTGGTTAGAACTTGAGCTGATTATTCTGTGTCCTACACTCTGGTATCAGTAAGAGGAGAACATGTCCTTCCTCTTTGTGCCTTGTAAAGTAACATAATCCCCGCCCCCCCGGCTTTTCTATAGGTCTGTCCTTTAGTTGGCATTCCCTCCTTTCCTGACATCACGTCAAGAGGTCAAGAGCCATACCAGTTTTGTCTGACTCTGAGAGCTCCTCTCCCAGGCCGCCACCCGACACCTGTACATCTTGGCTCCTCTCAGAGCCTGCCTGAGCACTGGGGAGAATGGCCTTGAGAGAAGCAGTGCTTCTATCATCTCCAAGTCTTGAGCTCCACGTTTCCAAGCTCCCCTTTGTCCTCTGTCCCCGGAATCCAGATCAGCTGTGACTTGTGAATCTACACCAAGAACAGCCGCCGCGCTGATTCCCAACAATGAGGCCTGTGAAGAACAAGGCATTTTCTGGGGCATTCTTTCATAGGGCCACCGTAAGTCAGAGATAACAGCAAGATACATGTCCAGGTACATCATTTTAAGAAGTCACCATCTTGCAAATATCTGAACACAAGAAAATGACATGGTGTGATGAAAATGCCCAGCTAAGTGGGACATTAGGTTTTTTAAAAACATATTTGTCTTGTATCTGTCTTCATGTTTTGATACCTTGGTAGCAGCTAGCATTATCAACATTGTTTTCATTTAACTCAAAGCAGTCTAAAATTTGTAATGCTTCAGTAACTATAGCACTGAAAAGTGAGTAGCTTATGGAAATAAAAATAATAAAATGAAAAGGTTGAAATGTTGCATCTGAATTTAACATAAAACTTCTATTCTGAAATTGATTACTAGTTCTAAAGGGCATTGTTTTGTTCCAGAGATGGTGGATGTGCCGTTGGAGTGAATTGCAGACACCCTTTTTATGTTAACAATTTACTGCTTCTTTGTTAGACACCTACAAAATAAGCATGTCCAGAAGAGATTTGCAAGTCAGATGATTGTCCACAACACATTAAGATCTTGTCCTCCAATTCCAGTTTCTAATAGGGTCTATAAACTTTATGACTTTGCCCAGTATTTAATTAGGTTTGGTAGAACAATAAATTGTAGCTTATGGGACAATGTAAATTAAATGTTTTACTTATTTTGACCTTTTGTCATTCCAAGCAACAGTTTTAAAAAGGACTGTAGATGACATCAAGAAAGAATTGTATATAAACTGTGAAGTTTAAAGTAGTGGCACAAGATGGCAATTTATTTATCAAGCATTAGTTATAGTAGTTAAGTACTGAGGGATAATACAATGTAAATGTGCTTTCGGTATAAGCTACATTTCTAGAAAATGAATATATTCTTGAAGAAAAATGGCTGCAGAAAGGTTATAGGGAATATTAACCATGGGTATTTGCATATTTTACAGCTGGTTATGCAGATGTTTGTTAAAATACACAACAATTTAAGAAGATGTTTTTATCGACAAATACTGCAAAGTTTAAATTGATCACTGCAGCACAAATTCCTCAAACATGCTGTTTGCTTTGATGATGGTGAGGGCCACTGGTGTAGAAGATGACAAGGAACACACTGAGAGTTACAGGCCTTGTCTCTGTTTAAAAGTGCATAGGATCGCACAGGAAGTCACTTTCCATTGCTCTGAATATAATGCAGAAAGAATATTATGAAGAAAGAATTCCTTCACATCAGACCACAAACCTTATAAGGTTCAGGTACAGGATCACCGTTCTGCCCCTAGAAAGATACAACTGGTGAAACAGGATCTCTGGGCTTCATTCTGCATCTTGCAGCCCAGCCTCATGCTGCCCGCAGTGTCCTTCCACCGAGGTGATCCATTCAGGCCGTAGACGGAAGAAGTAGGCCTAGCAGTGCCATGGCAGTGAGAATATAACAGTGTGGTGTAGTGGTTAAGAGCGTGGGACTGGGACTCAGGCGATCTGGGTTCTAGCCCCCACTCAGCCATGGAGCCGACTGGGTGACTTTGGGCCAGTCACAGACTCTCAGCCCAGCCTACCTCACAGGGTGGTTGTTGTGGGGATAAGATGGAGGAGGAGAATGATGTAAGCTGCCTTGAGCCCTTTGTAGGAAAAAGGCAGAATATAAATTGAAAAATAAATAAATAAAATAAATAAAAACACCCTGTGTTTTGTGCTGAGCTGGATAGCCTACTGCTTATTTGGCCACAGCAGTGGCTCCAGGTCAGGCACTTGCCAAACATGCATCCGTATGTTTTGCCGGCATCACACCATTTTTAGCTGAACTTGTGAGAGTGTAGGCTGAAATCTTCATGCCCTCTAGGACTAGACAAGGACCAAAAAGTAGCATATAGCCTGTGGTTTGTGGGTTGATAACGTTGCAAATTAATGATAAATAAAAATCGTGGCTTTTGTTTGGATTTAGCACCTTGAAGCTCTGGCTGTTTTAGGATAGGCTCATGGTACGGATTTGTGTGTCCAAGGACACAAAAGGATTTCTAATGGACTTTTCCTTTTTGGGACTTCAGTTTAGGAGGGCCAAGTAGAAGGAATGGAGGTGATACTTTTCTAAATATGTCAAGGATACTTTCTGGAACATTTTCAGGGACAAGTTCTGGTCCTTCCCTAAACACTATTATAACCTTGTTTTAACATAATTCTTGAAACAAGACATTCAGGCACCGAAGAAGAAAGTGCTGCAGGGGCAGTGGTAAAGGGAGGGAGGGGTGATAATTGAGAGTGGAGGTGGGAACATGGCAAGGGGTGTGTGACTGGGGTGGGCCACTCGAGCAGGGGAGGAAGGCCAGTGTGGCAGGCAGGCAGGCATAGGCAGAAGAGGCTTGAGGGGAGAAGTGGTAAGCGAGGGGGAAGGCGTAGTTGGGAGGAGGCACCAGGCCTCCACGCATCCTGAATTCTGATATCAAGTTCCTTGCCTTGTGAGAATGTCGATATTTTGGGGTGGGGAAACATCACCTCCAATTCTTGCCCTTATTTTAATTCAGTAGACAAGGCTCTTGCTGGAGCTAGATGTATGTGAGCAAAATGCGAGAAGCGGAAGAATGAGATGATGGATGAGTCGTAAAGCCTTTTGGGTGTATTTCATATCACTTTTTTAAAGAATCTGGTCAGTAAAGGCACAAGATATTGACATGGGCATGCATTTAGTAGGATGCACTGGGCTTGCTTGAAATGATGCAGAATATAAATATGGCAGGTAAGGCAGGCATGTTTGTCAATGTTTGTAAAGATCAAGTACAATAAATTTACTCTGTATTGGAAAAAAATAATTCAGTGCATCCCATCCCATTTTGGAAGTATTAGAAAATATTAAGGAACATTTGTAATTCAGTGGAGAATCAAACACAAGTCTCATTGATTCCAGTGGGATTTAAGGATGCTTGCATATCCCCTGGATTGCAGTCCATCTTTGTAAAGTGTCGAGTGTATGCAACTCTTAGGTACTTCATGACAATAAAATTAGTAGCCACATTAATTGAGGGCTGATAATCTGACAAATTGCTTTTTACATTTAAAGCAGAGGTATAAACAGCCAGCAAAATAGTAATTCAAACAGTCCTCGATAGCTGTTAAATAACTGCAGCGCTAGAGCACAAGGAAAACCAGAGGTATACACATTCTGAGATCAATACTCTCCTTTGATTACAAGACACTTTCCTCAGGCTTTGTCTGCTCTGAATAGTAAACAGAAATGCTTTGGTATTGCCGCCCTGGAAACATGTCTGCTTTATATTTCATTTGGCAAAAGTTCCTCATGTAAGAGAAATGTTGAAAATAACTTGTTTTAGAGGAATATCTCTTCTGCTCCCTTTGATCTGATAGGAAGTTCTCATCAGCCCCTTTGGCACCGGTGAGTTCCAGCTGCCGCCGCCATGCACGGGGCCTGGAATGAGCTTCCTATAGAATGCCTTGGCATCCAAGGAGCAGGGCGATGGGCGATGGGCGTGTAGGCATGTGTGGCATGGCCGTCAGGGGGCCAGCAGCACTGGGATCGTGACTGGGGATCAGGGACAAGCAGCACGGTCATGCACTGGTCTCTGGTCAGATCAGGCAAAAAGGAGCCAAGGCCTAGAGGCAAAAGTCATAGGTTGAATTTTTTTTTTTTAGGTTGAAATTTTTTATTTAAATAAAAACATACTACAAAAGTTACAAAAGGCACAAAAAGTGCAACGTTACAAAAATAGAAAAATACACCATCCAATATTTACAAGGTATCAAAATGCCAAATGTACACACATTTACAGGATTCCCAAACTTTACAAATCAAATTTACAAAAAGAACGTTCTACAGACTTCTCCTTGATAGGTTCATGCCATGCGTCTCACCAACATTTTCCATGTATGAGCGGTATATATACATTACGTGATCGGGGCATGAGCCCCACTCAACCACGGCCACAATTTCCTCCACCGACTGGGTGGCATCCTCCCATTTTCCTCACGGCTCAACCCAAAAATCTTCTCTTGGACAAATTTGACCGAGCCGGCCACGTCAGCCACCTTTCGTGTTTTTATCTCTCTGTGGCGTTGGAGCGACAGCGCCAACAGAACGTACAGATTAATCAGCCTAATCGTGGACCACGGTACAGGCCAGTACGTCTTGGGAGCTGTGATAGGACGGAAAAAAGTACTGGGCTGACTAAACGAAGTGGAGTTGGTATGAGTCTGTTTTGTAACTCAATGGGAAGAGTTGATCAAGCTGCCAAGAAGGTTGTTGTTGTTAGTTGCGAAGTTATGTCCAACCCATAGCGACCCCATGGACAACACTCCTCCAGGCCTTCCTGTCCTCCACCCAGAGTCCACTTAAGCTCATGACGACTGCTTCAGTGACTCCAACTAGCCACCTCATTCTCTGCCGCCCCCTTCTTCTTTTGCCATCAATTTTACCCAGCATTGTTCCCAGCATCAGGCTCTTCTCCAGAGAGTCCTTCCTTCTCATTAGGTGGCCAAAGTATTTGAGTTTCATCTTCAGTATCTGGCCTTCTAAAGAGCAGTCAGGGTTGATCTCCTCTAAGACTGACCAGTTTGATCTCCTTGCAGTCCAAGAGACTCGTTGGAGTCTCTGCCAGCACCACAATTCAAAGGCCTCATTTCTTCAGTGCTCAGCCTTCCTTATGGTCCAGGTTTCACAGCCATACATTGCAACTGGGAAAACCATAGCCTTGTCTATATGCACTTTTGTTGACAGCATGATGTCTCTGCTTTTTAGTATGCTGTCTAGGTTTGCCAAAGCTTTCCTCCCAAGGAGCAAGTGTCTTTTAATTTCTTGGCTGCAGTCCCCATCTGCGGTGATCTTAGAGCCCAGGAAAATAAAATCTGGCACTACCTCCATTTCCTCCCCATCTATTTGCCAGGAAGTGAGAGGACTGGATGCCATGATCTTACTTTTCTTAATGTTGAGTTTCAAGGAAACTTTTGCGCTCTTCTCCTTCACCCGCATCAAGAGGCTGTTTAGTTCCTCTTCACTTTCTGCCATTAGAGTGGTATCATCCGCATATCTGAGGCTGTTGATATTTCTCCCAGCAATCTTAATTCCAACTGGTGATTCATCTAGCCCCACCTTTCTCGTGATGTGCTCTGCATATAAGTTAAATAGGCAGGGCAGCAGTATACAGCCTTGCCCTCACTGTTGCTTCTTGACCCGCATATAGGTTTCTCAAGAGACAAATAAGATGGTCAGGTACTCCCATCTCTTTAAGAACTTGCCACAATTTGTTGTGATCCACACAATCAAAGGCTTTAGCATAGTCAATGAAGCAGGAGTAGGTGTTTTTCTGGAACTCCCTAGCTTTCTCCATGATCCAGCATATGTTGGCAATTTGATCTCTAGTTCCTCTGCCTCTTCGAAACCCTGCCTGTACTTCTGGTAGTTCTCGGTCCACATACTGCTGGAGCCTAGCTTGTAGGATTTTGAGCATAACTTTGCTAGCATGTGAAATGAGTGCAATGGTGCGGTAGTTTGATCATTCTTTGGCATTGCTCTTCTTTAGAATTGGAATGTAAACTGACCTTTTCCAATCCTGTGGCCACTGCTGAGTTTTCCAAATTTGCTGGCATATTGAGTGTAGCACTTTTACTGCATCGTCTTTTAGGATTTTGAGTAGCTCAGCTGGAATACTGTCACCTCCACTAGCTGTGTTGTTGCTCAGAATTCCTAAGGCCCATTTGATTTCACATTCCAGGATGTCTGGCTTGAGGTCAGTGACCACCCCATCATGGTTATCCGGGACGTTAAGCTCTTCTTGTATAGTTCTTCTGTGTAATTTTCCACCTCTTCGTAATCTCTTCTGCCTCTGTTAGGTCCCTGCCATTTTGGTCCTTTATCATGCCCATCTTTGCATGAAACATTCGCTTCATATCTCCAATTTTCTTGAATAGATCTCTGGTCCTCCCTATTCTATTGTTTTCTTCTGTTTCTTTGCACTGTTCATTTAAGAAGGCATTCTTATCTCTTCTAGCTATTCTCTGGAATTCTGCATTCAATTGGGTGTATCTTTCTCTTTCTCCCTTGCCTTTTGCTTCCCTTCTTTCCTCAGCTATTTGTAAAGCTTCCTCAGACAGCCATTTTGCTTTCTTGCATTTCTTTTTCATTGGAATGGTTTTAGTCGCTACCTCTTGTACAATGTTGTGAACCTCTGCCCATAG